GAATACCCTTTCTTCTCTGCCTCACAGCTACCTCACAGTCATATTATGTTACTGATTATAATGTTGCATTTACTTCAATCCTTTATTGCAGAGGTTTCCCTGATATTTCAGAAAGTGTACACCAGATTCACCACTGGTTCACAATGACTTACTCTTATCATTGCCAAAAAAACATAAATTTTATGGTGAAGTGATGACCCAAGGGAAAATAATTGCCTCCCCCCAAAATAGGTGAGGAACAGGGAATGAACTGGCTGAGTGATGACTGCATAGAGAGGTTTGGTTCAACTGCTCTCTGAAGTAGGTAGCAGTGAAGGTCTATGAAGGCCAGAGAAGCCTCTTGACCACAAGTGCCTCACACCAAGAAGAACATGGATGGACTGCTTCTTCCCTTTTCCTGAGCTGAATGATAGCTCAGCTACTCCTGGCCCCAGAATTATTTGTCTTCACAAGCAACCATGGTTTATCTTAGGTTCAAGAGGGCAACTGTGTAAAACAATTACCCAGCACTCATTAAAATGCAATGTTATAATTAGTAACACAATGTAACTATCAGGAAGATAAAAGAAGGCTGAGAAATAGGAGTAATTTATGTGGTTAAATACAGGAGGGAAAAATACCCTCTGTTATTCATCAGAAACACTAAACAGATTTTGCAAAGTGTGGAAGGAGAGTATGTCTTGACTCTGTAACTAGAAGGTAAATCTTAGGTAAGTGAAATGTAATTACCCAAGCTGGAATTTGGGCAAAACACCAAGGTTAGTTTGCAAAAAGTAACCTAAGATCTTTAATAGCCATTAGTGCTATTAAAGGATTCTTATTTTATATTTCAGCCTAAAGCAACACTTATAAGCATAAAAAGGATCTTCAGTTTTCCCTCTCTCCTAAAAAAAAAATCAATAGTATTTGAAAAAAACACCCAAAACCAAAACAAACAGTTCATCATTATTAAATTGTTCCAGTGTTTTTCCAGTATACATTCCTTGTTCCATCCACCTGCAAACATTTTTCATTATTTTTTTAAGAGTTGTTCATTAAAGGTAGTTATTGCTATTCTACTCTAAAGTAAACGCCAGCTGGGAACATGATATAACTAGTTCCTAGTACTGTAAGACATTATTCAGCCATTCCCATCTATGTGCTGCTAACTAAACAATCTCCATTCGAGTGGGCTAGTGTGTGAAAATGTAGAGACTAAGCAGTCCCTGGGCACCACTCGTGTGTATTCCAGAGCAGGAGGAAAATGAGAGGCAGCAGGGTTTTCAAAGAATGCAATGACAGGAGAAAATTATCACTGAATGTATTAGTCTAAAGCAATTGTATTGGGATAGTTGAAAAAACTTCAGAGAAGGAGACAGTGTTGTCCCATTGTCAGTCAGTTGTACTTTAGGAAATGACCCTTTGGGATTTTCAAAAGCTCTGATGATCCAGAATCCTCAAAGCTATTTATGTTCCTGTGTATCACTGATTTTTTTTTTTTTTAAAAAAGAGGTTACAATTTTTCTTAGTTATTATTATTTTTTAAATCAGTTTAGGTGCCTTAATACTCCCAAATAAGGAACAATGTGATCTGAAATACAGTGGCTTCTCACCAAGGAAGAACTTTACTATCTTATTTGTTAGAAATTAACTACTAAGTACATATGACTTTCAGGATTTTAGAGTTTATTCTACTTTCTGGGAAGATTTAGTTGTTGACTTTAAAAGGAATGAAGTCAATCCAGTACTATGTATGTCTGAAAGTCTTAACTTTAGTGAATAAACCTACTAACCAAGGATAGCAGGTTTCATTTAGGAACCCTTTTACCAGTGAAAGCAATCAGGACATCCAAGGCTTGGTTTTGCCTATATTCCCCATCCATTCAACTTTCTTATTTCTTTCAAAAAGGAAGCTTACTCTTCCATACTCTCCAAAATTTTTTTTTAAGAATGCAGTCTTCTTTAAAAGCTGAATAGAAACAATTCAGCAAATAAATGTATACTGCTTAGTTTTTAACATCTTTGTATCTAATGAACTTGGGGAGGTGTTCACAGTTTCATATTGCTTAAGTACAGTATGTAGGAAAATGATTCCTCCCCCAAGAAAACATTACTACGGGCTTTAATTGTTTTCTCTTCATTTAGTAAATATTTATTTAGTCAAAATATGTATTTCTGTTTGCATTCATATGTCAACATGCTACTCCTTTAGAATAAAGAGGTTTGTGTCCAAAACATAGAGCTTTTTCCTATGCAAACAGCCGAGGGCCATCAGCTTGTTCTGGACAGTCCTTGCTTTATGCTGCTGGGCTGGAAATAAAAAGTGGCAACTTTTTTTTTGTTTTTCCTCTTCATTCTTTCCCCTTGAGAAATGTTTGTCAATTTTCAAACTGTTCATTTCCACTTTCTTCTTAAAGTTAATGAAAACTGCTTTTAAAACTACTGATAACAGAAATAGCAAAGTGAAGGCTATCCATGACATAAAAGAATCATTTTCTAGACCAGCAATGAGTAAATTTCAGTCCAAAAGAAGGTCTGCATAGGGAAACAAAGATGAACGTACTTCTGTCTAGACAGGAGGCAAAATCCTCATATAGCTTTTGAATAGTACTAACTCAAAGGATGTGCACATCTGGGACATGACTTAAGGCTCACCCTGAATTTAGCAAAAATTATCATCTAAAGCCTTACAAAAATAAATGGTATTCCTTGGTATTTCTATCTGGGAGAAGCCAAAATTTGCATGACTACAGCAAATCAGTTCAAACTGCAGGCATTGGTCTAGGTATACTGAAACTTGGAGGGGCTGTAGTAACAAGCAAAGAGAAGTCAGCTAGTTTCCTACAGAGTCTTTCTCCTTTGGAACATGCTGAAGCCCACCATTGGCAAAACTTTTACACTATCACCACTGTCAAAAATGTATCAGCCACAAAAGCCTAGTAGCATGAAATAGTCTTGAGTTGAATTAAGTCAAATCTGGAAGATACGTTACTTTCACTGGTGTTTATATATTGAGTTAGAAGCTGAGGTGCCAAAAAACCTTACAATTATAAATATTGCAAATATATAATTTTAATGAGTTTTTGAGCTATGTTTACTTTAATTTGAATAATGTATTAAATATGGAATTTTTTTCTTTCTTGATTGACCTTTAGATCTGCTGATAACTAGGAAGCAAAATAGAGCTTGTTGGTTTTTTCTTTCCCCCTTTGATTCATATTGATTTATCAGAACTCACTAGGGACTGAAAGACAAGAAAATGAAGATAAGGTTAAAGAAAGGTTAAGCACAGCATCAAAGCCTTTTTCACAAGCAAAAAGGTTTTATGTTCTTTAAAAACTCAGCTGCATACCCTGTACATAATAATCACTATAATTAAGTGATTGTCTCCCCTTTAAAAAAAGTAAAAAATGACACAGAGGAATGATAAATTGTTAATTAATGATATGCTGTTCTGTTTTACTTCTGATTACACCTCCTGCTGGGCATGACTGGTCTATTTGCTTCTAATCTCTGCTGTGAATTCATTCAATTCCATGCCTTTCTGCTATCATGTTTTCACCCATCCTGACTTTCATGGCTACCATATGGTACAGAGCCACTGTAGGTTCAATTAATAATTTCATGGTGTCAGTGTTCTGGGGAAAAGTTGCCAGTGATATCCAGTAGGCATGCTTGGACATGGTTGTCCCACCATGGAAATATCTACAATTGCCATGAAAATGATGAACTTGTTCCTAAAGGATGTTTTAAAATGAGGATATGGTAGAGTTCATCATGACCATGAAAAATTTATTACCTTAGCTTAAAGAGTTATTTTATCCTCAAACTTGTCTTTTTTACAGAAAACCCATTTACGATGGGTAGCTTGAAAATAGCAGTTGGAAGGAATAATACTTTTCAATTCCATATTAAAAATATAGGGTAGGGTGTCTCATTTCACATACGGATATAAAAGGGCACAGTCCTAAAAAATGCATTTTTAGCAATTTGAATTCAGAGTAATTTCATGCACAAGCTCTACATTAATGCCAGAAAGATACGTGTTGTTCTTTGATCCCTGGTTGTTTTCTGTGGGCGTGATTGCTATGTACTTAATATTATTATTCTCTTTACCAGTCGGCAGGTATTTAACTTGACCTGGTCCTTTGAATTTAGACTATGTCTTTCTGTCTTTTCTGTGCTACTTCTAGCTGGATGAGGAGGGGCACACTGGGACTCTAATATTATGAGTTTCTTCTCCAGCTAGGCTCTGTATGTGCCATTTATGGACTGAAGTATCATAGGTCAATTTTTAATTCACTTGTTCACTGTGATATGCATGGGGTCAAGGTAGCATGGAATGATCTCATTTATTCTCTCCCTTAGCTGTTGCCCTTTGCCAGTATCACAGTTACAAAGGTGGCAGGAGAAGAAAGGCATGTTCTGTCTTTCCTGTAGAAGATGCTGTTTTCAGAGAAAAAAAAGAAGGGGGGAAAAAAAAAAAGCAAAACAAAACCAAAGATCAACCAAAGGACATTTTCTATATGAAAAATTCAAGGGACTTGATGACTTTCTGAACCAAGAGTGAATGAGCTGGAATCTCCAATTCCCAACACAGAGTCACAAAAACCCAGTAAGTTGGGAGGAACCTCTGGAGGTCTCCAGTCCAAACTCTTGTTCAAAACAGAGTAACTTCACAGTTAGGTAGGTTTTTTTGGGGGCTGCATACTACTGCCTGCCAGGGATAGGTGTACAAGCTGTCACTGTTCCAGCCTATGAATCCAAACATATTTGTGAAAAGTGGCTGCGCTAGCAGTTGGGAGATACAGCTCATTTGAGAGAGGTTACAGTTAAGCTCTGCAGTGAGAAAGTGGGTCTAATTATATATTTTCAATGACGATACATTGCACATGGCTTATTGCTTTGTAATTTTCTCATTATCCCTATTAGCGTAATATAAACATAGGACTGACAGCTTTCTCTGACTTACCATGACTGGAAAATTGAGAAATGTTGCTTACAATTACGTCCTCCCACAGATGGAGAACTGTACTCTGGCACAGCGGCAGACTTCATGGGCAGGGACTTTGCCATTTTCCGAACTCTGGGGCATCATCATCCAATCAGAACAGAGCAGCATGACTCCCGGTGGCTAAATGGTATGTAAAATATACATTTATCCGGTTTCGTTCATCTAGCCATTAAAGACTATCACACAGCTTCGTTCTAGCAACATCTGTGACATATACACCCTTCTTTTATTTGGAGCAGAATTTTGTCTTAAACCAGTTAAACTAATCAAAAGTGATTTATAAAGAAGCATTTTTATTTTAATTACATTGAGATTTGTGGAGTGTGATTAAATTTAAAACACATACTGACACTATGGCTAACACAGTCGTGCCACAGGAGCAGATTGCTGTAGGGTGCAAGTTGGATAGAAGCTCAAGGCTTCTGGAGGCATCAGCCACACGTCAGCACAAAGTAGCTACAGAGCCTTGGGCAGGACTGTGCCTTGTACAGGCTTTAATTTTTGACTGGATTGAAGGGAATCTGACATTGGCCACCAAAGTCCAGCAGAAAGTGAATCAGCAGAGCTTCCTGAGCCAGCCAGAGTTGTTAATAGTTTGAGAAAAGTGAAAAGGATCCTGAGTATTCCAAACTACTGGGTTTGAAAATATTCAATAGTTTAACAAGGCAGAATAGCTTCCATTGTTGTATGCATATTACTAATCAGGCCTGTAGTTGGTCATTTGGATGTATGGGGAGAGAGGGATAGTTTCAGAGAAAATCTGGTTTTGGCTTCCTGTACTAAAATACTTTAAAATGCATCTGACTACTCTGTCCAAGTTCTACTGAAGACAAAATTCCAATAACTTAAATGGAATTACACTTGGCTTTAGCTATGCAAGGATATGAGCATTTTGGAAATGAGAATTCATCATTTGAAAAAGCTGACATTTGATTTAAGTGAGCCAGTAATGCTAACTGTAGTTACTCTGAGTTAATTTATATTTTAATTTTTGAAGAGTTGACTAGCCACTTTTGCTGTACACGCTGCTTGCATCTGCACTCCTGTTTTTGAATTCACAAAGTATTTTGTTCTTAGATATTTTTCACTCCTAGCCGCATTATTTATGTCTGTGCTGAGGTCCAGGTTTTCTTATGTGGGTTTGCAATTTAGTGCAAACTGTTCACGCAAATTTTTAATGTGTAAAAGCAGACTATGTTTTAACAACACAGTTTCTTATTAGCTACAGTCAGGAACTTCCAGTGTCACACTGGTTATCATATTAGCTGTATATACAATCCATGACAAAACCAATCCCTGACTCATAATTAAAACCATGAAGTGCTATTGCAGGTTGGGTAAACTCCATATATGATATATGCATTAGATATATGTATCAGATAAACGTATATATGACAAGTTGTATGAATCTGTATTTTAATATGACAAGTTGTATGAATTTGATTTTTGTCCTGTTAAATTTAGTTTTGTCATAATTCATGCGTACTGCTGTGAGGACAGATTCAGGTCTATCACATTTCGGTTCCACAGGCTGTGCTTGCCCAGTAACCCAGAAATATTGTTCATTTGTTTATTTTATTGTAATAATAGACAAGATTTCTGGACTTCAAGAGACAGCAAAGTACAAGGGTTACAGACATATGCATCTGTCTTGGTACCTGGTGGAGTAATAATATGTTAAAGATAACACAACACTCACTTTTGTTATGATAGTCATGATGACATAAAGACCAATCATGCAAGCAAAATCTGCTTTCGTGCAGTAGATTTGCACAATGACAGCTGAGTCAGGAGGATTTATGCAGTGGGAAAGCACAGCCATTGTCCACAGCCCCTGTACTTCATCGCTGAAAATGTGTCGTTCCTTTGTGGATTCAGTTATCAGTCTTTCAGCACTAAATGTGAGAACTGCTTTTCCCAAATTAGCACTAAGGTTACATCTGACGGGGTGGAGAAACCACAACTGCTTTGTGTTCAAGATGGGGAGGAGAGACAGTTGGGTATAAAGAGCTGACGAACCTCAAGCTCTCTAGAATTAGTGTGTCGTCCAAAATGAGCATAAAAGTAGAAAGGCAGCATTTATTGTAGCACAGGGTGAAGATGATTTTCAACTCTACGTGTAGTTCCTACACTATATTCCTGTATGGAAAGTTTCAAGCTCATTTTAAAAAGGTAAGAATCAAACTGAGGCCTTTAGAAATTATTCTTATAACTGTCTATAATTTAATAAAGAATGATCCTTAAATACATTTTTGAAATGTCTCTCTCCATTGCAACTTAATAAGTTTGCATTCCTAATATGGAAAGGTTGGCTTAAAATCTGCACTACAACGTTCCTATTAAAGGCTCTAAGACTTCACTGTTAATTTCCCAGTGATAAGGTCCTGGCAGCCTTTCCACACAGTACTCCTAATTTCAGCATCTAACAGGGAAATCCAAAAATGGTAATTGTTTGGGTTTTAAACTCTGCAGGCATGCCAGTCCTTTGATTTTTTTTTTTCTGTTGTCATTTGTCTTTTTTAAATATAATTATAAAAGAAGCTTTGTGTTTGCCTGTATTTAAAGTGGATATACTTTTAATGAAATAAGCTCTTATTGAAGGATGAGGTGTACTCTGCTTTCTTAAAGATCTGTATAAATAGTTTTGAACCTTAAGTTTGCAGAGCTTTATACATTTTTTAGTAAAGACATGGATTGCTATGTAGTGGTGGGTTTGCTTTTCTAGTTGCTTTCTACAGTGTGCTTAGCCTCAGGTTAAAAACCATTATTCTAATGGATATATACTGAAATCTGGATAAGAACAGTAGTTCTGATCAAACTCACAAAGAGAAGTCCTCATGCCCTTGGAGTTTAATAGCTAGATGGTGAGACAACCCATTATAAGTCCTTGCTAATGTTTACTTGGTTCAGAGCAGGAACTTGAAACTGCTTTTCCCAAACTAAGGCTAAGGTCAGAGCTGACAGGGTGCAGAAAACACGACTGTTTGGTACCAAAAATGGAGAGAAGATGACATTAAGAGCTTGCAAACTTTTCCTAGAATTTAAATATCATCCTGAACTCATTTAAAAGTAGGACAACATTGCACGGAGTGGTTAAGTTTTCTGTATTTAAGTATGAATGCAGAGTTCCTACAGAGATCACACAGTCACTTTTTGGAGAGGCTCCACCTTTCGTAAGAAGTTAAATGTTGCTGGGAAGAGAGCTTTGAACTGTGCCCGGCCCAAGGGAAGGTGCTGACCAGCAGCTCTTAAAGACTTTTAAAGTCTTTTAAAGATATTAAATACTCACAGGCTTTTACAGACATTTTGTTTTGTATAAATAATTAAACAGTCACCAAGCCAAATAAAGCAAGGGAGACTGATTCTATAGCCATGTAGTCCGGGCATTCATCTAGAAGGTAGGGAACCATACATCAGTCGCTGTAGCAGTGTATATTTAATTATTGATACAGAGTTGGCCAGATGTGACACGGAGGCATTTGCAAAAACACAGCAAAATACATTGGTGCTGAGGGAAGGAATCTTGGATATGAAAAGCCATAGTTCAATGCCCCAGACTGAATCATGTACTTTGTTATAAGCCATGTGCATGCTCACCCTGGACATTATTGGCTTCTCTGTTAAGTGCATGGAATTTCTCTGCTCAAAAAGCTTTGACAGTCTTAGTTGGTTCCAGTGAGGGCCAAGAATAGTTTTGAACTCTCAGAAAAAATCTTGAAATTGAAAAAACACCTCCTGTCCAGCTTTACTATAAGGAGCAAAGGCTTTGATGTTACACATATATCTTACAGAGTCTTGCCTATAGGCAAAAATCATGTTTCCCTTTAAATGTGCCATTGCCTCTTATAGTTCAGAGCCATCAGAAGCTAGTGCTATTTCAAGAAAGTGTAGATCAGGTCCTGCTTCTATGAACTTCTTCAGCAATAAAAAGAGATGAGTAGGAGGCCCGAGAAAGTCGGAGCATCTTCGCCTGGTACCAGGGAGTTCCCTGGTGAACAACACGCGGCGTTTGCTCTACACCCTCCGCAGCAGCATTCATGCAAGGGCTGAGGGCATGGCTGGAGGCAAGAAGGCAGAAATGGGTGTGCAGTGTACCACAGCAAATGCTAAGCAACTCAAAAGCAATGTACTGAAGGCAGTTTTTAAGCTGAAGATTAGGGGAGTGGAAGGAAAGTTTAGAGCTGCTCTCATCTTCCCTGACTTGAGCAAAGGGGATCTGGCCTTAAATTGTTAACATTTTGTAAAATGAATAACCATAAACATTTATTTTAAAAGCAAAACAGAGTTGGGCTGCAGAAGATTTGAAAGGAAATTAGATCACAAAAGCTACATTAAAGTAGTATTATGAATCTGGTTTGCACCCCAGAAAAGGGAGGGGCCTCACTTACCCTCTTTACTAGACCTGGGGTTAAGAGAGACTGTCAGTCTGGATTTCCAGCCTTGCCTTGGAATTTCCTTGCTTTTTATGGGTTTAAACTAGCTCTATGATATTATTTTAGCATACTTTCCATGGCTTAATTTTTAAAGTGGGGTAGTAGCTGTGCTTAGTCCCCTGCGGTTATTGTCCTTGGTAATCTTTACTTTACGGTTACATAAACAGCTGAGAATAATAGAAGCTGAGCGACTGTTCAATAAAAAAGAAAATGCCCTCTTAAATTTCACAGGCTCCAAGGCAGGAAACATGGACTTGATACTCTCCTGGCATTCATACAGAACTTTAGCCATCTCTTTATGTTGTTTCCGCTTATGTAGGATGTCCCAGCACTGGCAACATACACACATAATTTTGAATATATATGTATTGCTCAGTAGAGGAATGTATGGCAAGAGAAAGACAAGATTGCAGCTCGTTTACAGGATTTTTACCTCTCTAATAAAACTGTATAAAATGTGCCCCCCTCTTCTGGGCCACTCCCTTGTCCCTAAATTTCTTCGTAGTTTCCCACTTTCCAGCATCACCTCCTACACATTCCCAATCCAGATATACAGAAAACAGTAAAATACATGCCACCAAACGGAAGCAGATGTGGAAAATGGCTGACCTGCCAGCATAGACAGGACCCAACCATTCTGGTACCTGGGGGTTATTTCATAAAGGACATCTGAGATATTCTTGGAGAAAGGAGG